GCGAATACACGATAAAAGAGCCTGGTGGAAATGTGAGAACGGTGAAATATCGCGCTGGAAAGGACGGATTCTTCGCCCACGTGATTAACAGTAATGGCAACAACCATGAAGGAGGGGGACACCATCATTAAAGGAAACGCTATTACATTACATCGTATCGATTTACCAAAGATTTCCTGTTACGTTGCAATTGTTATTGTTACGCGACGTTTGATTGTTTCGTTTCTGTTGCATCGATTAAAAGAATGAAAGAAAAAAAAAGAGAAGAGAGAATCGTTTCGATATATTTGGGAATTTAATTCGTTCCAAATCACTTGGCAATCAGCAGCAAGAAGATTCGAATCAGGCAGGAAACCGTAGCCCGAATCGAAATGCGATGCGCGAGGGGAACCAGCGAACGCGGCACCGTTTTTAACGGAAGTGACGTTTACTGATTGACAATCCGATCGTCACGGACATATGGATTTCCCCTGTGATTACGTATCCAGGCTTACCGGAAACAACGACTGGTCGCGGTGCCGTTCGCGGGCAAATCGATCGGGATGGTTTTGTAAAATTAACGAGTCTCTTAACTTCAAATCGTCTCTCTTGACTGTAGATCGTTTAACCGACGGTTGAAGGTACAACGCGGTCTGACGAAAAGCTGAGTCGGGTCACTTCTGACCCATCGTAGGATTCGTTTGTCTATACGTCGAAGAATCAATTCTTTTCGACAGATTTTTGTCTAAGTACATTAAACTACATTTCTCGGTAACTTTTTCTGAAAAAGAAAAATGGTGTTGTTAATTCATGGTTGAACGACCGGCGATAGAAAGAAATATTAGAGTACAGTAAACTCCCGTATAACTCGGTTAAACGTTACACGTTGTATGAATTCGCGTTATAGGAAATCGCGCTGTACGAGAATTTTTCTCGTATAACGCGAAGAATCGAAAGTATCACGTTTGGAATGATTACTGCATACCAACTTTTATCGTCTATGTTTTCTCGAATAGGACAGTTTTTTGAAAAAAGTGACAAATATACGCTGTTGGTTTAACCCTTTCACTACTATTGGCGCCTTGGAAAGTGTCTAGTTCGTTCGTTAACCCTTTCATTACTATTGGCGCCTATAAGCGCTTTGAAAATTTCTTCGTATCGTGCTACTGGCGCACTTCTATGTCAATTCAAGCGTTAATTTGATCCTCTGCACTCTTCCACGTTAATTCAGTGAAACAAATTTTAAAATGACTGAAAATGGCTGAAAAAGAAAGTTTGCGACCGTGTGGAATATTTGAATTTGCCACGCGCGTTGTGTACTAAAATTTGCCGTAGCCGAAGGGTTAAAAAAAAAGCATTATTAATGTATGTAACGTAGGGAACGGAATGCAAAATATAATTAGGATAAACAACACTGATAACGCTTTATCGCTTCCAAGGAAAAATGAACGATCCTCGCTATTGTTTCTCTATTTATAAGGTCTTTGCGACCCGCGCTCGCTCTCTCTTACTCTCACGCACTCTCTTCGCAACTTGCATCCCTCGCATTCGCACAAACTCGCTCGCTCTTGTTTAATAACAACGAACGTTCGTTGCCCCCGTTTCGCCTATTCGTATCGCAGGGTTTGTAACAAGAACAAGCTCGACCATATGATCGGCCCACTCCGGTCATTAACCTCCTACAGTAATAAACAATCAACAAAAAACAGAAGAAGTCGGTAACGACGAGGAAAACAGCGTGATGCTCAGCTTTTAAACGCGGGGAATTCCTGTGTTTTATTATTTCGAGCGTTGTACGAGGAATCGCGTTATATGAAAACAGTAGTCGCAAAATTTCTTGCGCGTTATAGGAATTCGCATTGTACGGAAATCTACTGTATCTCATTTGGAGAAAATAGAGATGATCCTGAAATCTCTTTTACGTCTCCAGCCTCGTGAAAAGAATTTACTTACGTCACATTAGGACCCTCGTCCATATTGTGCAAATTTCAAGAAAGATCACCTAATTATCTTATCTATCTACGGTGGTACGAGACAATTTTTATACGTAACTTAAATGGTTTTAAAGGGTGAATAAGATGGAAGAAATGGCAAAAAGTGAAAGAAAGTTTCACACTTGATTGAAAATTTTAGAGTCCTGTTGTGTATTCCGTGTATTAATCGTTTATTAAGTGAGACTCGTACGAGTATCACGGAACGGAGACATGTTGACAAAGTACAATAAGTATCGTTAGCGGACTATGATCTATTATCTATAGTAGAATGACTAATTCTCTGATTTTTGAGGGAGAACGTATAATATATGTGCTCGTATCTTGAGAACTGAGAATTAGGATTTGTAAGGGTTTGGTATACCAAGGGCAGAGTTCGAGGGTGAGACGGAGTTAGTCAGGAAAGGATGAAAGTCGTGAGGTCGAGGTTCGAGGATGAGTAGTAAGGAAAGGATGAAGTCATTGGTTATCGAAATTTCGGGTGTTTACACAATGAGAATGGAAGGCTATCACTTAATCCTTTGAACTCCGAATTTTTTTAAAAATTTTCGTTTCAATAACTCATTATTTTAAGCATTTCATTTGAAATGCACTTCAAAAGATATTTGGTTGATAGGAACCAATTTAAACAATATTTTTTACTAATTAAATTGAAAATAGCATAAGGGTCTATTGCTCATTCAGGTAAAAAGAAATATTGCAAAATATAATACATATTTAAACTGGCAATTTAAAAATTACTTCATTCATACCTGTGAATAAAACTGATATCGAGTCACATTCCAAAGGGTTAAATCTACAGTCCAATGTCATTTTACCATAGCTAAAGAAGATAATTAGGTGGCCTGTTTTAGGCGACCCACTCTGTATACTAATAGGAGCCTTGGCGAGGATAAGTAAGAATGGCCAATGGTCCAATCCTCTGGTGCTGCAATTATTTTTTTGTGTACAAAATAAGGATCCCTAGTCTCTCTCCTAAATGGCCAGCCCGTTGAAACCATTTAAATTAAGGATAAAAATTGTCTCGTACCATCGTAGCTATTAAAAGTTAATTAGGTGACATTTAACATTTCTCCACATTATTATCAATACCGGAAATATTCCGTTATAACTGTTAGATTTATAAGTCAGTTAGATATATCAAAAATTAATCTAAAGCCTTACTAGGAAGTACATACAGTAAATTCTCTACAAGTGTCAGTCAGTTTGGATTCTACAAGTGTCAGTATAGATGGTCCTACGCCTATGTTATCTCGCTCGCTGTCATTCAAGCGTGTAACGCTACACCACTCGGTTTCTTTTACGAGATTTCACGACTCGACAATTCATAATAGAAAGATATAATTTCTTTAATTTTACTTTTTTTCAACTGAAATTTTTTTTAACATGTTGCAGTTTTCATCAGAAAAATCTCATCAATATGTTAAGAAAAATTTCGGGATAAAAAAACGTAAAATTAAAAAAGTTGGTATTTAAATCGCTTGGTTGCCTCGACTCACGTTTCATCCTTATCTTTTATTCGCTGTCCTTGTCTACGTTCGGCAAACTACAAAGGCGGGCGCGAGGCTCGAAAACGTAGTTCCTGACTCTACAAGTGTCAGGTTTGGGTTCCTTGCGGACTGACACTTGTGGAGAATTTACTGTACATATTTCTTTTGTATACGTTCGAAGAAATCCGTTCAGCTTTAACACCTCTGTTTAGTAAAGATCTAAATGTTTATGATACGTGACAAAAGGCCCTTCGGTCCCAAGCGGGGTCGTAGGCAATATTAGGGCGCTGCGTAGTAGCATTCTCAGTCTGTATATAGTGCTCTTGCCATCAAGTAGAAAAGCGAATCTTCCTTGTGTCAAATAAAAGTTTATAGTTTAAAGAATAAGGATTATTAATTATTTAATAATCCATAACTCCCATAATCTAATAATAACCTCCGAAATAACCTTCTATATAGACACACGAGTAATACGGGTCACAGATGACCCAGCTTCGTCGATCGACAGTTAACCGACAGAAACGTGGAAAATGACATGGAAATGTTCGTTTTAAACGTCCTTTCGAAAACAACAGTGTCTAATCGTTGGAACAAAGTCGAAGAACTGCCGGACGTGGCTGAAATACCGCTCATTAACGACACGCGAGGCTAAATGCGGCAAATCGATCCACAAGCAGCTGAATGAGACACGGTTAATTGAGTTTAGACGCAATTGTACTGGCTGGCGACAATGTGTCGCGTGTATTCAACTACGTTGTCACTGACAGTGTACTAATTTTCTTCGTAGAGGTATAGGAAAATACCTTCGTCGAGATAAAATACACGTGACAAAAGAGTTCTTTGTTATCGAACGTTATTCTCTCGACCTTTGTTACATACATACATACTTGCACAACGATGTTGTATCGTCTCTGTAAAAGAGGTGCCCGGTAACGCACAAGGTCGCGTACGTATTTTTCACGCACGGCTCTTCCAGTAGTTGCGTGTTCGCGTGCTTAACATTTCTCCCTTAGGCGGAAACTAGATTACGCGCTGTGAAAAAGCAGCCAGACGGAAGAGCAATAATCCAGGTACGAAGCGATAAAAATGTTGTCGCGTAAACCTAGCAAAAGGGGCAGACCACGTCGAGACAAAGTGGTTGGTGATCTTCGTCATGCAAAAAAAAAAAAAAAGTTATTCTCACTGCTGAAGGAAAATTTCATTTTTCTTATCGTTCCGGCGTATTAATACAATGTGCATCCGTTTATTGGCCATCCCGGTGCACGTAGGAGAATTTTTCAGGAAACGCCGTCCTTTTGTTCTTAATTGTGAAAGAAGGGAGTCGGAAGAGTATCATGCAAATGAAAGATCATAAGCATTGCTCTTTGAGGGGAGAGAGAGAGAGAGAAAGGCCGTGACCAACTTCCACCGTGCTCATTATACTTCTGACTTCAATTTCACGGAAGCCCTTCATTTCGAAGTCACCAACAGCTTTGTCGTAATCTGCAGGATTTCAATTGCAGTTCGCAATCGCGATATTGTTGGTAATGTTAGGCGGGTACGTGGCAAATTCTTGAATATATTCATTAATCGTGAAGGTGACGGTACAATCGTGACATTCTTCTCGGAAGCTTCGAGCTGCTCCTACGACTCTAATTAACAGAATGGGAGAGCATTCGCATCTTTTTTCCC